ACAGAGGATGGGTTATGGGTAATAGGAGTCTTACCAAGTGATGGCTGCAGAAGATCAGAGAGGCGACGGCTCCCTGGTTCGGCTTATGGTAGAGGAGTCAGTTTCCCCCAGGAGGGGTCTTGAACTCCTCCTGGGTTTTTGGCACCACTTGTAAGGGTTATTGCCGAGTTTAAAATGAGGAAACTGAGGCCAGTATAGGAAAATTAAATGCCAATTTATTCAGCTCCCGGGTGAGGTTCTATGGTCCCGGGGAAAGGAGGCCAGAGAAGTCATGCTGACTTCCTGGGGTGGGGGTTTTTTATGGCTATGAGGAACAAGCAACAGCTGGGTGCTCTGATTGGGTCCAGGGGAGTGGGATTGAGACAGGGTGGGCCGCTATTGGTTGGCGGGTTGTTGGGTGGGTTTTCCGGTGCGAGAGCCAGCCAGGGTTGCATTAGCAGGAGCCTTCCCGGGGAGCCATGCGGCAGAGCTAGGTGCTGAGTGCAGAGTCTGGTGCCAGGTGCAGAGGTGGGCGTGTCCGGCCTCCTGGTGAGGCAACCAGCCTTACAGTTTCCCTATCTAAAAAATAAGATGTAGAGTTGTTATTATTGGTGGTGGTCTGTCCTAAGCATTAAATTAAGAAATGCACATGAAATGTTCTGAAAACTGGAAGACACCACACACTTCAAAAGGAGACTGTTACCGTCTCACCAATGTACCACAATGTAGCTGTCTCTCCATGTGAGGTTATCACCTGAGGCCAAGAGAATTAAGGACTGTGGACACGAAGGGTGAGGTTGGAGTAAAAGTTTAATAAGTGAAAGAAGAAAGCTCTCTGCTACGGAGAGGGGACACAGAAGAGAGTTGCCGTTTTTCACAGTTGAATGTAAAGGCTTTTACAGGAAACTGATGAGGGCTGGGCATGTCATTTGCATAAGTCATGTATTTCTGGTAGCTTCACCCCCATCCCCCTAATGCACGTGTGGGCCTTTAGCTTGAGTTACCCTATTGCTTTGTTCCCCTTATTACACATGTGTCAGGGGATGAAATTTTCCACTGTGGGCATGTCTGGACAAGTCACCCATGTAGCCTTTCTTATCTGTGCAGCTGTGGGCATGTCTTGGGCAAGCCTCCTTGTGCAAATTCCCTTATCTGTGCTTGTAGGCTGTTCTTTTGTTTGAAAGAATTCAATCCACTACCCATCCTGACTGCCTGCCTGATTGGTTTCTTTCTTTCTCCTCTCTCAATTCTTATTAAGGCAGAAAAATTCTAGAATGACTTTTTATCCTATAGCCTGGTTCCTAGAATGTTTTGGGAATGTAACCACCCAATGGGTTTACCTTGCCCACTGCCTACACAGAGCCAATTTATCAACACGGGAATTGCAACAGAGAAAGAGTACCTAATGTAGAGTTGAAGACAAAAAAATAAGATCTTTTAAATATATATAGCTTGGATATTCATGTTTAATTAAACATATTTTAACCATAGAGCTATTTTGTTTAAAAAAAATCTCTTTTACATCTCTTATTACCAGACTATAGTCAAGACAGCCAGTATTTCTGGCCTTTGAATTCTACCCCAGGAAACCACCCATATGAAATTAGTAAGTTTTAATTAAGGTTATAACTTAGCCATGGATACATAAGATGTTTTAAAGAAATGGTAAGCAGTTTTTTTTTTTTTTTTTTAAAAAACAAGATTTAGAATATCCCCAAAGGTAGTTCAGTGAAAGGAAAATTCAAGACAGGAAATCAGAAGCTATCCATGGGTTGAAAAAAAAAACCCTCAATAAATGGCAAAGTTACACAAACAACAAACCAGAAGGGAATCATTCTGGAAGCCAAGGATTGAGCCCAGGCCACCATTGTCAAAAGATAAAGCCTTAGCTACTGAGCTACACAGCATTGAGCAGTTTCTACTGCTCTTCCCAGAAGTCTAGAGCCGCTGATTTCAAGCTTGTAAAGACTTTTAACTGCTCAAGAGAATTGTTAGGGCTGTGACATAAACCCCAAAATTTCTGTCCTCTGGATGGTGGAGACCAAGATAAAGTTTCTTTACATGGTCACAAGGTTAGGCTTTTAAGGACACAAAACAAGACAGAAATTTCATCTGGTATTGGTTTCAGGGACACACAGCAGATTTTATAATTGACCAGCCTGCTGGGTTGGCTTGAAAAGCAGGCTTATAGGGGTCCTAAACTCATGTTCCTGTCTGGACAGCCCTCTCTCCATTACAGAAAGACAAATTCTTAGCACAAAGTGCACCAGATTTGCTACAGCCAAAGACTAGTCTCACAAATCCTTTTTTTACTATTAAACTCTTGCAGACGAGACACACAGTGACATTTATCATATTGCTTACCACTGCTCCCCCCAACACACACACAGCAGAGAGAGAGAGAGAGAGAGAGAGAGAGAAAGAGAGAAAGAAGACACTTTTCTGGCAAGAATACTTACCCTTTTTGCCATCATATCAGGTTTCTGAGTCCCCTGTCTCTGCAGCTTCCAAAAGAGTGGAGCAGCTTTTGATGGCCCTGTTCACTGTGCCATAGCTGTGGGGGACTAAGCCCCATTACAAAAGAAAATCATCCTTTTCTGTTTTGTGGAACCATAGGCAAAAGCTTCTCAATTTTGCAAGATGCTGCCTGACAGGCTGCATGGGGAACTAAATTAACATTTTCCATCCCAGTGGAAGCAAAATACACATAATGCAACAGACACTGGTCACCTGGTTTGGTACCCAACATCGACTTGGCAAGGCTCAAACTTTTTCCCGTTGGTTCTTGTTGACTTTGATCTATGCAAAGTGGGGAATGGTGACCTCCATTCAGGAGTTCAATGGGTGGTCTCTGGGCAAGATGAAGAGCAGTCACTCCAATCCAGGGCTGTTAAACTTCTTTCAGGACTCACAGAATGTGACCAGATAGATAAGGAGAGTTCTTTGAGTTAGGCCTGCTGGACTTCAATCAGCAATTCCTTCAGAGATCCTTTCTACATATACAAATACATGCAGACAAGACAGACAAAAGGCCTTCCACATCAAGATTCCTAACCAAGAATTCCAGAGTATCTCTTCCAGACTATCCTCCTATTTTCTGTTTGAGAAATCTCCCTGAAATCTTGATTGAGGAGAAGTTTCTTGAACCAAGACTCTTTCTACTAGTTAGGGAGAGCCAACTGAGACCCCCCCAGGAGCCAAAGCAAGACAGACACCCCATGGTGTAGCTACAGACACCTCACAATGGACCTGTAGACAGACACCCCACCATGGGGCTGTAGAACTAGTTGGGAGAGGGAAGGAGACTCTGGCAACATGTAGGATACTCACCAACCCAGACACCCCACAATGGGGCTATAGACAGACACCCTGTGATAGGGCTACAGTTATGGTACGTCTCCCCAGGACTATTTCTATATTGCAATTAAATTCATGCACATTGGGTTAACAGTACCCTATCAGTGCAGAGAGTACTAGAGTCAGCCCCCTCATCTAAGTGAGCTAGGCAGCTGCTTGGGCTGGCCTCTGAAACCATTGCTAGAGGGGGCTAGTGAACCACAGGCGGGTAGCCACAAGGGCAATCTTCGCTAAGTCTCCAAATTTATAACCACCCAATGGGCTCACCTTGACCACTGCCTAGACAGAGCTGATTTATCAAGACAGGGGAATTGTAATAGAGAAAGAATAATTCACCCAGAGCCAGCTGGGCAGGAGACCAGAATTTAATTACTACTCAAGTCTCCCCAAAAACTCAGGGATCAGAGTTTTTAAAGGATAATTTGATGGGTAATGATTGGTTGGCTCAGGGATTAAATCATATGGGGTCAAAGCTGTTCCCTTATGCTGAGTCACTTCCTGGGTGGGGGCCACAGAACTGATTGGCAGGTCCAGGTGGGGCCATCTAGTTGGTAGAAATCCAAAAACCTGAAAAGACATCTCAAAAGGCCCATCTTAGGTTGACAACAGTGATGGTACCTTTAAGAGTAATTGGGGAAGTTGCAAATTTTATGACCTCTGGAATAATGGTTGGTAATATCTAGAATTCAGTCCCTCTCGTTCTAACTTGGTGGCTGGTAGCCTTTCATTCATTTTACAAGAACATTTAGTTTTTGGGAAGGGCTATTACATAAACTATAAATGACTTCCCAGGTAGTTCAGCCTACACCCAGGAATGGAGAAGAACAGTTTAGAGTTTAGAAACAAGATGGATTTGGTTAAGTCTGATATTTTTCACTGTCATAATTTTCTTAGTTATAATTTTGCAAAGGCGGTTTCAGGAATGCATTGTTTGCACAGTACTTTCATACTCTTAATTTGTAGTTGCATATGTTTGCCTGTCTTACTTTTTAAGTGGCAGGAGTTTTGAGTCCAGTTTTGAAAGAAACTTGGGTGTCTTTCAAGTTTCTTATAGAACTTAGAAATAATGGATGTTTAATAAATGCTACATGTACAGATAACATTCAGGCTTTCCATGCATCTGTCTTTCATTTTTTGTTGGGATGTTTTTCAACAGTCTGGGGACCTCTTAGCAATGTGGGTGAAAGGCTTTGAAAAATCTCTAAAAGTCCTATATAATGCAAAAGTATTTTAAATTTACAGGAGGTGTTATTACTACTAATACTGTGCAAATTAATGCAGAGTTGTGGAAATAATAACTCCATAAGCAAAAATGCTTTTATTTGTGTTTTGTTCTTTGCATTGTGCAAATACAGCCTATATAAGTAACATTTCTACATTTCTGTATCCTGTGTGCCGTAAGGCATATCTTGAGATATCAAAAGAATAAAGAAACATAACAACATGAAATCACAAATGATCAGAGCTTAAAGATCATTATGTTCAGCCTTGCCATTGTACAGACAAGGAGACTAAGAGACACAAAATAACAAAGGTCACACAGCAAAATAGTAATCTTTTCTCTGTCATTATTCATCCTCTGAAATATTTGGATGTGTTTAGTATTATTGACATTTCCTTGAAAAAAGAACAATTTTTAAAATGAAATTTTTTGTTTCCAGGGTAGAGTAATGCATCACTCCTTAGCCTCACCTAAGGAGGTTGTAGAGATGAGGCCAAGGCAGGAAACCAGAAGAGTCCCTGATTCACCAGTTATTTGTTGACTCCTTACAAACATGTCATTCAAGTGGCTAATCTTACACCAGCACCAGGTAAGTTTCTCTAAATTAAATATTGAGTCACTTCAAATAATTTTTTCTTGAGCATCTAATTCATGCCAATGGTGTGCTAGGTTCTATGAGAGAATTAAATGTGAATTACTCACAGGTGAAAATAAATAACCATCAGGCCAGGTACAGTGGCTCATGCTTGTAACCCCAGCCCTTTGGGAGGCCAAGGTGGGGTGGATTACTGGAGATTAGGCATTTGAGACCAGCTTGGCCAACATGGTGAAACCCTATCTCTACTGAAAATGCAAAAATTAAGTGGGCATGGTGGTGCATGCCTGCAATCCCAGCTACTCAGGAAGCAGAGGCATGAGAATTACTTGCATCTGGAAGGCAGAGGTTGCAGTGAACTAGGCTCTCACCACTGCACTCCATCCTGGTTGACAGAGTGAGACTCCATATATGTGTGTGTGTGTGTGTGTGTGTGTGTGTGTGTGTGTGTGTGTGTGTGTGTAAAATCAGAGAATAGAATGAATATAGCCCAGTGGACAAGACCATGGACTATGGAGCCAGACCACCTGCTTACCAGCTGGATGATTAATTTTAAGCAAGATCCTTAAGCTCTTTGGGAGTCAGGTTCTTCATGTATAAAGTGTGGCTTACTTAATATTAATAGTTTCTGTGAAGTTATGAATTTAACAAATATCAAGCTCTGTGCCAAAGCTAACTAATTTGCTAATCACTGATTTTGCAAAGTGTGTTGTGGAGATGTGGCTGGACAGGTTTGCCATCAGTGGATATACTGCTGTATTAAAAACAAGCTGCCAAGTTCTTTAGCCGGTGGTTGGTTGGTCTGAAATCCTTGCAAGGCGCTGATGCACAAGCTGTTGACACACTCTTTGCCTACTTTAACAACTATCAGAGAAACATGATATGGGATAAGCAGGTACTTTTTAGAAATCGTTCATGGACTTCTGTAGAATGCAAGATAAATAAGTTATAACAGTGGAAAAAAAATATCAGGTGCTTACAGGGTCTGACATATAGTAAGGGCTGTAGTAACAGTTATTTTACATTTATTATCTCACCGGGTCTCACTCTAATCCCATGAAGTAGGAACCATCCACCTTTTATGCAGGAGTAAAATGAAGTTCAGAGGTCAAGAAGCTTGCTCACAGTCACCCTGCAACCAGCAACAGAGCCAAGAGTCAAGCCCAGGTCTGTCCGACAGCCAGGCCTGGTCTCGTAAATACTGTTCCGGGTGCTGTCCTCAGATACAAATCTTGCTCTCAAGGAGGTCGTATTCTAGAAGCCTTATTGCAGGACTGAAAACACTAAGTGCCACTAGAGAAATAGAAATAATGTGGATGGGAATTTCACAACAGGGCCTGTGGGAAATTGTTTCCAGCTTAGAAAATCAGAGGAAGCTTTAAGGAAAAAGTGGAATTTGAGGCTTGAAGGATTTATTTGTGCAGAAGCGGGAGTGAGAAAGGACAAACAAGAAACCAGGGATGAGAGGGGTGAGGTATAGCTGGAAGACAGGAGGTAGTTGGTTCAATCAAAGTGGACCCTGGGGTATGTGCAGGGCAGCAGGGAAGGCTGAGGCCTGAAACCTTCCCTAGGTGAAACTAGATCACAAGGGGCTTCAAGTACCAAGCTAAAGAGTGTCTATCTAAAATTGAAGGTCCTTAAATGGCTTTTCAGAGGACTAAAAACAAAACAAAAACCAAATGTGAAAAGAACTAAAGGAAAAAGTAAGACCTAAGACGCTGAGACATGATCATTTGTCAGTAAGAATTGGCGGAACGTGGGCTTATTGACCTAGTTAGTTCTCTTCTGAAAAAGCCACATAGGTTTACAGAAAAAAAAGGAGTTGATTTTGTAAACCTACTTGTTCATTTGAAGGGTTGAAGCATTCTTTCTAAAATGTGATATAATTTTTATATTTAAGTTAAAATACAATTATAAGTATTTTTCCTTCATTGGCTAAAACAGATCTAGAATTTAAATTTTATTCGTGAATTGTTTCCCTCCCTCTCTCCCCCTCTCCCTTCCTTCCTTCTACTTGCATTTGTGTTTGGTTCGCTCCTCTCTCTTAGACAATAGGTATTTTCTCATTTTTTAAGTTCCAATTTCTCGTCACGTTTTGAATGCTGTTTTATGTTTAAATTTCGTATTTATTGTAATGTGAACCCTCAGCCACTAGGACATCCAATATCCCTAGAATGGCAGAGTTGAAAGGAACAGTACAGATGATCTATTCTAACATTCATCGTACAGCTGAGACAACAAAGGCTCAGAGAAGGAACATGACTTTTTCAAAAACACAAGAGCTAGTTCAAGGCAGAAATGGGACTTGGACTTGTTTTCTGGCTCCTTTCTAGTGCTCATTTCAGTGCATCATCTGAGTATGTGTCGGGGCTCTGGGGACTCTACCTTCTTGAGAATGGTTTAGGGAGTCTCAGTAGACTTCTCATGTACTACTGCAGGACTTAGAATCTATGAAGTATTTAGAGCTGGAGGGAACCTAAAGACCCTCAAATCCAGCATCTTCCTTGCTATAGTCTAAATGGTCCCTCAAAAATTCATGTGTTGAAAAGAATCCCCAGTGCAACAGTGTTGGGAGGTGGGGCCTTTTTGGGAGATGCTTGGGTGAACAGATTAATACCACTATAAAAGGGCTTGATGGAAAAAGTTTGGCTCCTTTTCCTTCTCCTTTCCCTTCTGCTATGTGAGAACACAGTGTCCTCCCATCTGAAAAAAATGCAGCATCAAAGTGCCATCTTGTAAACAGAGAGCAGTCCTCACCACACAGCTGAACCTGCTGGTACCTTGATCTTGGACCTCCCAGCCTCCAGAACCGTCAGAAATAAATTTCCATTCTTTATAAATTACCCAGTCTCAGCGATTCTGTTAAAACAGTACAAATGGGTGAAGAAACTCCTTTTGCAGAGGAAAGGATCAAAGCTGAAAGAAGTAAGGGGGGACCTGCTTAACTCACATGGCTGGAGACGTGCAGAACAAGGTCAGAGATTTCAATCTGCTGACTCCCAGGCCCATGCTTTCATTCTGTATATGCTCATCCTTAGTTTCCAAGTCTCCAGTTCAAAAATTCATCTCTTTATAGTCACATATACTGAAAGGAAGCCTGCTTCACAATGCCTATAGCAGCTTCAAGTTGAATGTGTCCAAACCAGGAGGAAATAATTCCTTTGATTTTCCTCTGGATGTTAGTGCAGGTTGGTGTGCGGTGAAGGTAGGGGTGTGGAAAGCTGGCCAAGTCTGCTTTACGAGTTCTTTATTCTTTCACACCCAGAAAGTACCACAGCCATTGAATTCTTGGTGAAATCAGAACATAAAATAGTGAAAGTGGGGTTGGGAACCTGGTAAAGCAATACTCAACATAGCCAAAACCAAGATTGCATATTTACTTAGTATTTCTGTAGCCATTTAGTTCATCACACTCACAAAGTGAACACACAGCTCAAGGCTCAGTGGCCAGCCTATGTAGTGGGGGTGGGATGTGCCAAGGTGTATATGCATGTGAAAGAACAGTGTAAACTATGAAACATGTACAACAGGAAAAAGCAAAAAGAAATCCATATCTCTCCCTCTGATTATCTTGTTCTCTCTCCTCTGTCATGGATTAGACCCAGAGAAGAATATTAGTCTAAATCTCCAGCAACCGTTCATCGTTTTCAACCTTACCTGCCTGGTGAAATCACTTGGGAGCTTTGAAAATAATATTGATGCCTGAGCTTCACCCCCGGAGATTCTGATTTACCTGATGCAGGATGGGGTTTACAGATCATGATTTTTTTTAAGACTCCCCAGATACCTAATGTGCAACTAGGATGGAGAATGACTCAATTAGACTATCAGGTAGCTTTCCCTGACTGCTGGGATCCATTCCTTGTACTGCTGTGAACAATTTTGTAGCCAGTTAGGGCTAAATACACTTATAATGTGGTCTTACACTGCATTCATTCAATTTAATAGATACTTGGTGAGTGGTTTCTGGTACATGGCTAGGTGAACTGTAGTGGGTACATAGGTAAATGAAAATGTCCACTGCTCTAGAAGAGTTTATACAAGTAACTGTGGCCTAGTAAGAGAGCAATGATCTTTCCCAAGGAAATGCTAAAGGCCTCATGCATTTGAACTTGAAGATTCTAAACATATAGAAACCCTTTTTATATTATGTAAGATTCATTTGTAAAGAGAAACCTGCCTAATTGAAAATTTGCTTTGATAAGTCTACCATGAAAACAAGCCTTGGACTGGTGCCTGGGTTTGAAAAGTGAAAGCTTCTCTGATCAGCACTAAATGCTATGTAGGGAGATGGTCAAAAGGACACTTAGTGACTTTTAGAGAGGGCGTCTCAATCTGTCACCCAGGCTGGAGTATAATGGCATGATCATAGCTCACTGCAGCCTCAAACTCTTGGGCTCAAGTGACCCTCTCACTTCAGCCCCCTGAGTAACTGGGACTACGGCAGGTGACACCACATCCAGCTATTAAAATTTTTTTTGTTTTTTTTGTAGAGACAGGGTCTTGCTGTGTTGCCCAGGCTGTTCTCAAACTTCAGGTCTCAAGCAATCCTCTTGCCTCAGCCTGCCAAAGTGTTGAGATTACAGGCCTGAGCCATCTTGCCCAGCCATAAGGCCATTTTTAAAAAGGACTGTTAAAAATGTCAATTATGGAATGTAAATCTCATTTTCACATTTATTAAGAATTATGCCATAAAATACACATTGCTCCTTATTTAGTAAGAGTAAATTCTGTATGGAAAATTCAAAGAAGTGCTGAATCCCATCTTGAGATGGTCAGAAGAAAACCAGAGGGTGCACATGGGGCAGCTGCCTTATGTGTGGGTTTGCTAGACTTTACCATTAAAATTGCAGGACACCCAGTGAAATTAAATGTAAATGAATACAAATCATTTTTTTAACTATAAATACATTCAATGGAGTATTTGTGCATACTTATATTTTTTTTTCTAGGAATTTTTCATTTTACTTAAGTTTTAAAAATTTTTGTCACAA